GAAGTCCCTACTCGGCTGGAGACCACGTGAGGTGGCGAAGCCTTGCTTGCTGCTGGCCTTATTCTCTCGGAGTAGTGTGTCCATCCACGCGGCTCCTGGGCCTCAGCTGGTCTTTCCAGATTCAGCATGTGTTTGGGGACGCAGGGACGTGGCGGGAACAGTGTCGAAGAGAGAGACTTCTGCGTGCGCCCTCCTCTCTTCCCTGCAGAAAGGCAGCGGCAGGACCAGTCACTGCTCAGCTGCAAAGGATAGACCTGCAGCTGGGTTTTGGGGTATCGCCTTTACTGGCAAGCCCTGTGCTGATTTCCACCCGCTGAGAGGCCAGCTGGGTGGATTTGACATGTCATCAGTAAAAATTGGCGCTGGAAGCTCTTGTTTCTTAGCCCTTTTATTGTTTGATGGCCTCCCAAGCGCTAAATATAGGCTCAACACCTACATCCCCGGGGATGCTGTAAGGCTGCGTTATGCAGGAATCCAGATTGATCACGCTGGAGTCACAGCGTCTGGTCTCATCTGCCCTGACTTCTGGCGCCCGTAACACTACATTCCTCTTCCTCCAAGCACACGTCCCGTCTCACAAACTCCACACGCACCTTCACCGTGCTCCTCAGCTCTGAATGCTTTCGTGGTTTTACATCACCACTACCAAGCTATCCAGCTCCGTTCGGACCCTACAAAGGACTCATGGAAGGGCTCGCTGGGGAAAGCTGAGTGATTTTCAGACGTGTGCTGCCTTGCTCTGCAGTGTCCTGGGCACGCATCTGTCACTCTCCCAAGTGCAATCCCCGTTGTCTCTTCCAAGGATGCTGCTCCCCACCTGCTTGTGAAACTGAGGCTCCAAAGGGGCTTTGGCTCAGTCCCAGGGCTCTGTGAGCAGAGACTTTCCCCCTGAGCAGCTTGTCCTCCCCTCTCTGCCCCGAGCCCCCTCCTTTATCCACAGAGACAAAACTTTCTTGAGGCTGGAAACAGCAGCCTGGAGCAGCAACGGGGCTTGCTGAGGAGTCTCCAGTTAGACACCGAGGCCTGGACGAGGCTAAGGGGTTTTGTTCCGTGTTTGGAAGGTGCTGGATTCCCTCTCTCAAGAATGGGAGCTTAACGTCCCGTATCTAATTAGCAATTTTCCCTGCACCTGCCCCTCTGCCGCCCCCCCCTCCCCGCCAGCCCTCTGACCATCTGCCGTCTCTGAGCCCTGCAGACAGCAGCAGTGAGCGATGCGTCTCAGCGGCTGCTGGGCACGTGTGTGGTGCGGGAAAGCTGCTATGAGACAAGAAGGGGCTGCCCGCTCCTTCATGCAGCCCTTAAGACCGGGAGAAAGGCCAGAGCCCAGGACGCTGCTCCCTGCTGCAGGCTGGGACACAAAGGCTGCAGCACTCAGAAGACAGCTGCAGCTAGTCCTCTGCATGAGAATCACCAGCCAAAGTCCTGAAGACTGAACTCGGTCTTGTCATTTTGGTGTCCCGACTCACGACGTGGCCACTGGGCACCGATGTTTAGTGGCAAGCACAGCCAGCGCTATGCAATGAGTTGTCTGGGTCGCAGGGCATCGGCGATGCCCAAGCTCCTGCTTGGCACTTCTGGCCTGCTTCAAACTCTCTCCAGTTGCCCTGAGGGTTTTGGCTCTGAAGAGACTAAACTGATGCTGCTCCCAACAACCTCCTGTTTCTACTTGAAAGCAAGTAAAACAAGGCAACTTAGAGCAACCAATGGACCCTTTAATCGGTGTAGTTACTTTGCCTTGCCTGACCCCGCCACCAACAATGTGGTGCCAGGAGTCCTTCAGGCCAGGAAAATGAGGCTGACTGAAGCATAAGTGGCCTTCTCTAAGGCTGGTTCCCAGCATGCGTCCACGGGCAAACTCTTCTCCAGCTTGCCAAGCCCCAGGCCCTGCACAAACAGCCTCAGGGCTCCTGGCCAGCTCATGCCTTGAGACAGGTCTTGGAGGAAGGTGTTGCAGGACATGTGCCCAGCTAAGGACCTCACTCCCTTTGGGGTTAGGATTTGGGCTGTGACTTGAGCACCTTCGTGTTTTCAGTTGACTTCCAGGGTGCTAGGGAAAGGCCGAGATGGGACTTGCATTTCTCTTCTGTTGGTCAGCGTCTTATTCAGCACGTCTTTGTATCACTCACATACTTGTTTTGGGAACGGACTTGTCTGTGGTTATGGGTTCTCTTTATTTCCCCAAATATGAGCTGGGGCTCTGAGGTTTTGCAACAGCCAGTGTTATTTTCCTGGCTAATCCCCATCCAGCTGCAAGAGCCTTACTTCTCCCCTCACCGTGCTTCCCAGACACAAATTGCTCTCCGTAAATCAATGCTCAATGCTCTCAATGCTCTCAGTCACCCCTGTGACTGCATGCAGGTTGTACCAACCCTGCCAGCTGTCTCCAGTGACAGTACCTGGCCGGGGAGCTCCTGTATACTGGGGTGCTGACCTGTGGCGGTTGTAGCCAGAGGACCACTGGCCTGGTCACCCTCCCTGTACTCCCGCAGAGTCTCTGCCACAGCAGCGGTGACTACACTGTTCCTGAGGCAGGTCCCATGGGATCCCTCCTTCCAGGCACCCCTGATTTCAGCTCCTCCTGAGGCCTACGTAGCCTCAGCGCTGCCGGGGAGGGGGAGCCCAGCACCCTGGCAGAGTACGGCTCTGGGCAGGAGTTTCTTGGCCCTCCTGTGGCGTGTGGGGCTGCAGCTCCATCCCAGCAGCAGCACAGGAGGAAAATGAGTGCAGTCTCCTGATGGGAAGGAATGGCTCCCTCCGTCCCCCTTGCTGAGATAACAGGGGCAGAGGGGGAAGAAATATGCAGCAGGGGCCACGCAGAGGGGAGGAAAGGGAGTTAATCTTTGACCTGAGGTGAGCAAATTGCTGCCTCTGCGTCCCCCTTCGCATTGTGCGGGGAAGGGGAGAGGAAATCGCCACATTCCAGAAATTACCAAGTCAATGCAAAGCCAGCGAGGGGGCCGGGGCCACCTCTCCTTACCCACCAGGCCTCACCCGCCCGGCTTCTCCCCGAGCTGCCCGCCTGTGGCGCAGCAGGAGGCCGAGAAACCGAGGCCAAGCCCAGTGCAATCAGGCTGTCAGCGCAGCGCAAGCCTGGTCCTTGTAAGCATCCCGACCGTGGCTGCAAGGAAGGGTGAGCTCCCACCATCTCTCTCAAAGGCAAGAGGCTGGGCAAGGAGATCAGCGCAACCACAGAGGAGAGGCTGAGCTCTTCCCAGGGCCCACAGCACCGTGCCGGCGCTGAGGCATGCAAAAAGATGTAGGGCTTCGCAGTCAGCGCTCATGTTTCCCGCCTGCTGTCACGGATCAGGCACCCTTTGAGGGTCCCTGGCTCTGGAGACCTCCTGACCTGCCTGCCGCGAGTAGGAGAGGGTCCCGTGCAGAGGAAGGATGCTGGGGGCACCTCTCCGCTGTTTGCTCTCACCTCCCCGTAGGCTTGCAGCCTCAGAGCAGCAACAAGGCCAGAGGTAAAAGCCCTGCTCTCTGTTGCTCATCTCTCTGTGGCTCATCCTGTCTCCCCTCCATCTCTCCCCCTGCCTCCATCCACTTTCCACGCCTGGACAGCCAGTGTGACAGCCCGAGCAGAGCGCGTCCCACGCTGTCCATGCCAGGCCACCCCGCTCACTGCCTCACCCTGGCATCTCCGTACCCTTTTGCCTCCTCAAAGAGCAGAGAAAACGATGCCTGAAGCAGCCCTGGGAAGGCCCCAAGCATCTGCGCTCCTTGTGCTCACTGCGAGTTGACATCACCTACCCGAGGGGGGGCGGCGAGGAAGGGAGGGCCGTGGTGGGAGGGGAGCGTGAAGGCGAAGCAGATGGGGCAGGCAGGTTTTTATCGGGCTCATTTGGTGTTAGAGACAATGGAGTGTCTCTCAGAGCCTTGATTAAACAAGAAGTTTTATTCTCCTGGACAGCTGGC